CAATAGAACAGCCATGAAAGTTGCCCTACTCAAAGCCAGTACTGGGGTTCATCCTGATCTTACATATAACTTCTCTGTGGGGCTTCCAGGGAGGGGCAAAGATTGAAGGAAACAAGGGGAGAATTCTGGTGCAGAGTTTTGCTAGATGCCCCAGCTCTTTCTGGTGATGTAAGAAAACTTGTCCCTCTTGCACTGCCCTGCCACGGTCCCTCCGGGCACCAGAGCTGCGGTTTACAGTAGTGCATTGCAGCACTGTCCCGTGAGGACTCTGTCCGTCCATCACAGTTTCTTTAAGCACATAGTATTTACACAGATACTGAAAAGAACCTACTAGCACTGTACTCTTTTGAAGTATGTGGCATGTGATAATATGAACCATGAGAAGATTTCCCTCTGCAGATGATTAGGGTTTTGCCCCATTTTTGCAGAGAATTGCCTGGAGAAGAGACCGAAGATCTGGAGTCCCTTTTTCCTTCACATTATAAATCCTATTGCAACTTTGGTTTACTGTGTTCTTCATCTCATACCTCCTGGAAAGATTCACCTGTCAACAGGATGGGCCTCAGATTTGATTCTTAGATTATCCCATCGCTAGGACCGTTGTATGTTTAACGCAACCCAGTTTCTGATGTATATGGGCACCTCACCTATGTTGGGAAGAGGTGAATCGTTATTGCTCCCACTTGACAGACTGGAACACAGCTGTTGGAAAACAGATGTAGGCTGATATTCTCAACACATACTGAAGTGTTTTGAAGAGCCAGACCACATATTGGACTATCCTTCCACAACCTCGGTGGTACAATGGCTTAGATTGAGGTCCTAGAACTAAACAGGGAAGGGAAATTAGGAGAGAAGGTCTCTCAGTGCTACTACATCTTACTCCACGTCTATTTAAATTAAACCTACATAGTAACATAGATGCTTTTACAGCCTTATTTATCTTTACCACCTTGCTCCTACCAGCAGATGAACATGGAGTCGTCTGCCTTGGTCAAGACATTCTGCTAATGCACTTAATGCCACACATTTAACAAAGGGAACAAAAAAAAAGATTGCTCCCTTCCCCAACACCATCATCTCTAATCGTCGACAGAGGAAAATGCTTCCCTGCAGGCTACCATTGATATGTTGAAACAAAAATATATTGCTTGATATTATTAACTTCTGTATCAACACAGATGAGTCACTGTAAGTGGCTTAAGCCACACACCACTGCATTTGTACTATCTATCCTCATTTCTTCCAGACAGGATGCTTCATGCAAGACCTTTAGCCTTAGAGGTGTTGTTCATCACATAGACAAATACAAACCAACACCCAACAGAGGTTAAGGCAGTCAGATTACCTAATCTGGAATCCTTTCAGTGGTTCTGCTTTCTTTGTGAAACAGAAAAATTGCAACCATGAGCACTTGCAAAGACATGTGTTTGTTGTTTGACATACAGCAGTCTCCAGTTTTTATAGTGAGCGGTCTCCTGGGTGATAGTTACAGCTAAAGCTCAAAGAACCAACAGAAAAAAATGATACTGCAGTCCCCAGGCCCAGTATGAGACTCAACCTCCCTTATAGTTGACTTACTGCTCCTACCAAGGGGTTTTGAACCTTCTCTCTCAATCTTCCAGTATCCCATTTTCCTGTATTTCTCTCAACTCCCACTGAAATGGTGGTTTGATTATTTTTTAAAATGATTATGACTGGCAAATAAGCTGTGTAGGATTTATGAAAGGGCATGTTTCTGTCTCGAGTATCTCTATTTATGGTTTCTCCTCCTCAGAAAAAACAGAATACAAACAACAGCAAGCAATGTGGGATCACGTCCTACTTTCTAGTGAGGGAGCTGTAGTGAAATATGTCACTTGGGTAGCTATATTTAAGGGTTAGCTAGAGACAGAGTGTAATTACACTAAGAATTAAGAAGCTAGACATGCTGAACACTAGTGAAACCTCCTACAGTCCCACAGCAAAGGAAGAGCTTTACTATCAAAAATCAGGTTCTCTTTTTGTAAAACAGTTTTAATTCATTTGCTGGCTCCCCTTCTCAGCTTTACAAACAAAGCTATGATAAACAGTTTCAAGTGCAACCCAGCTAGGTAATTTCAAGGGAGGGTTACTTGGACAACCAGATAAGCTGTTACCCAAAGGGCCTGAGGCAGCACGTATTAACTCAGTTATTAAACAACCTCAGTGTGTTTAATGCTTAATCCTAGAACTGCTCAAGTGCTAAGAAATACAAGTACTAACGTGGTTATATACAGTTGTATTCGTTTACTAACAGTTCAGGCAGTTTAAGTGCTTCTCACCCCTCTTTACAGGGTGTACACCAGAAATGAAGCATATAGCCAAGAGAAAAGCTTTAGCAAGTGTCTGTTGTCCCGTACACCAGGTTACCAGGCCCATCAGCAGAGGAACAGGGTACACTCAGCAGTGTCTGCGGGCAGCGGAGTCAATTAACAGAGCCAAAACAGGCAAGACGCCAGTCATGCACAGCAGCCCCCTTTTAAGTCTTTTTTTCCAGTAATGCCTTGCAAGCATTTCATCAAAGGATCATAAAAGAGGTTGCACACATGTGGATACCAGCTCTTTCCAAACAGTAAGGACCACAGTAATTGTAGCATTGACAGCAGTTCTCAAAGCAACACTTTTTTTAGTACAGGAGCACTCCCTTAAGTGGTGTTTGGGTGAACTAAGGACTAAGCTTTGGTACTGGGTAACTGCTATACTCCATGGCGGAATTTACTCTTCATTTATAGGAGTAAGCAAAGTCTTATAGACCCTATAACTACTCTTGACTGCATTGTAGGCTCACTCAGGGTTCTTGCATCCTTTAAACATATGGCAATATAAATCCCCCCTCCCTCCCTAAGGAAACCACACTTACCTTTGCAAAGATGCACAGCAGAGTGCTGCCGCGCTGCTCTCGCCTGCCTGGGGAGGGTCCATTTCCTGCTGCGGGGACCAACAGCATCGAACAGCCCTGTAAACCCGTAACTGGGAGGCAGGAGACAGCTACTGTCAGGGTACCTACAGGTGACTACTCCAAGATTGCATGTATGCTCTGGGCAGCCTTCTGAGCCGTGTTACCTAGAGATCTGCCCATCACCTCTTATCTCCTAAAGGAAACCAATTGCCCTGAAGAATCAATCCCTTAACTGTAAAGGGCAGTTTAGTGGTTATTTTTGGAGAACACAAGAGAATTTTATGCATGAAGTTCAGATTCTTAATAAAGTTCTCAAGTTGTCTGCTAGTACAGACCCACACTTCCCTGCATAGACCTTTTGTGTTTAGAGATGAGTGTTGGAGGAATAGATTCTTAATCAAGTTCTCAAGTTGTCTGCTAGTACAGAACCACACTTCTCTGCATAGACTTTTTGTGTTTAGAGATGAGTGTTGGAGGAAGACAGGACAGCTCAGGATCAAGCCAAATCACAGACACCCACCCATATGCATGTACTATAGGCTCTAAACACAAGTTAAAGAAGAGCTGCTGAACGGCAGTGGGGAAGCCTGCAGCTATCCTGTCAAATCAGTTTTGACAGCTTGTAATGTGGAATTCAATACCTTCTTGCTGACCTCACTACCACGTATGTCCATAAATAGGAATCGCAGGATTCTCAAACGCAGTGTCTTGTTTCTATTAGCTAAGGCAGCTTTCTCCCCAACGACAGATCAGCTGTTAGACACCCGAGTGTCTAAGAGTGAACCCTCAGTTTCCATAAACCGGCTACCACCTGAAGCTGAGCAACTGCAGTTTCCTCATGCTGCTAAATTCACAGCCTAAGAAATCTTGTTTTATTCAGTTTAAGCTTTCATTGAGGTTAAGGATTAAACTGAGAAGTGAAGCGACAGAAAACTACACAAGAGAGATTTTCTTAGTCTAGAGAGAAATAAGGCAGAGGAGACAGTTTAGGACACAAAAAGCCTTTATGTTTGAGAAGTTAACCATTTCAACAGAAGACTCTGAAGTATTTTTGCAACTACTGTTACATTGGACAGTCAAGGATACAAAACTGCTGACAGAAGCAACAGTGGAGAGCACCAAATTAAAAAATGCATGCTTCAGCACAACTGCACAGATTCCTCCTCTCAATGAACACTTGCCTGCTCAGACTATACTTAACTCCTACCCATCTCAACTTTACGCTTCATCCTCCTCTCCCTCCTCTTCAAATTCCCCCTGCTCATCAGCAGTGGCATCCTGGTATTGCTGGTATTCGGAGACCAGGTCATTCATGTTGCTCTCGGCCTCCGTGAACTCCATCTCATCCATGCCCTCGCCGGTGTACCAGTGCAAGAAAGCCTTGCGCCGGAACATGGCCGTGAACTGCTCCGAGATCCTCTTGAAGAGCTCCTGGATAGCCGTGCTGTTGCCGATGAAGGTGGCGGACATCTTGAGGCCACGCGGGGGGATGTCGCAGACGGCCGTCTTCACGTTGTTGGGGATCCACTCTACAAAGTAGCTGCTGTTCTTGTTCTGCACGTTGAGCATCTGCTCGTCCACCTCCTTCATGGACATGCGGCCCCGGAAGATGGCGGCCACCGTCAGGTAGCGACCGTGGCGGGGGTCGCAGGCGGCCATCATGTTCTTGGAGTCAAACATCTGCTGCGTCAGCTCGGGCACCGTCAGGGCTCGGTACTGCTGGCTGCCGCGGCTGGTGAGAGGGGCGAAGCCCGGCATGAAGAAGTGCAGCCGGGGGAAAGGCACCATGTTGACCGCCAGCTTGCGCAGGTCGGCGTTCAGCTGGCCGGGGAAGCGAAGGCAGGTGGTCACGCCGCTCATGGTGGCCGACACCAGGTGGTTGAGGTCCCCGTACGTGGGAGTGGTCAGCTTCAGGGTGCGGAAGCAAATGTCATA